GAGAACCTGGGAGCATCAGGATTATGCCACTGGAATAGCATCCCTGGGACATTCTAAGACACTGTGGCTGCAGCTGAGGCCTCTTGATTCATGACTCACACTGTTAAATAAATGCTCAATTGTTCTTTGTCCTTCAGTCAGTCCTTTGAGATTCCAAGCCTCAGGTGGGCTCACCAGGCTGAGCCCCAGTTCAGAGCTCAGAGATATGGATACAGAGAAAGAGCCCCCTCCCCATGGAAAAGTCTCTCCACGAGCGGAGGTTGTTGTTGCCGTTGTTTAGTGGCTAAGTCCTGTCCAACTCTCTGTGACCCCAGGAGCATGCAGGCTCCTCCATCCATGGGATTTTCCAAAGAATACTGGAGTGGGTTATTTCCTTCTCCAGGAGATCTTCCCCACCTAGGAATTGAACCGCCACCTGCATTGGCAGATGGATTCTTTACTGCTAAGCCAACCTGAGGGAAGGCTGGTACCTCCCTGAAGAAGAAGGGTGTTTGATTGCTGGAAACCTTACAGAATGCAAAAGTCCACTATGGATTAGGAAGATTTTAAGTGGTGATGGGAGAGAGGGCAACACAGGCTGTACAGCAGAATGGAATGAAAACAGGCAGACCTCAACTCCAATCTGGAATCCTTTGTACCTTTAGAAAATTAATTAACTTTTCTAATTGGCAGATTCCAAATCTTTAAAATAGAAATGTTGCCATCTGCCTGTGTACAGCATGAGCTTGCTGTTAAGATTCAGTTCAAGCATTCATTCACTTATTTTGAAAATACTATTGGAGCATATACTAAGCCACTTAGCTAGCACCTGGGGACAAATTTTGAACACCAAAAATGCAACAAAGAGACAGTGCTTTATGCTAGATGACAGATGTAGATAACGGAGACCCAGGTCATCTTCTAAAACTGATCATGTATCCCTTTTCCCCAACTGCTAACACTCATCTGCAACATTCTTCCTCTTTTGGTTAATCAATACCAAGGCCCTTCCTGAAACATACATTTTCTTCTGATATACAAAATGCATTAAGCTAAAAAAAAAAAAAGCACCAAAAAACTTTAACTCTGATTCTACAAATAAGAAACTAAAGGTTCTCAGAAGCAGTGAGCCCTGATGCTGGTGAATTTCAGGTGGAATAATCAGAAGATATTGGCCCATTATATGAAATCCTCTCCCTCATTGAATGTTTAGAATATGTAATTCACACAGACATTCACAAACTAAAATGAAAATTAGCATTAAAATAGACCAAATGAAATTTGCAGCAAAAGGAAATTAAGTAACCCAGGACCTTTGTCACCAGTGTTTTACAACTGCCCAAATGCTCTCCACATATATCTTCCCACTTTCTCATAATAATCTTCCGAGCTCGATTTTTTAGGGGATTAATCTGAGGCTCAGAGAGGAAAAAGAATGTGCTTAGGGTCCTGAGGCAAGAAGCTGGTTCCAAATCCCACTAGCAGTCTTGCCATTCCCCACTGGGAAAGGTTGGTCTGACTGGGAAGCACTGGGCCATTAGTGGGGTTGAAGGAAGATACTTACATCAAAGTGATGGGGAACAACGCAGACTTTTCCAATACCAGCTGGAAAGACATAGCTTTCAGCAACAGCCAGAAAGTCACTTCATTTCCCACAGAGCAGCTAAAAGGCTGCTGCTACTCACCAAAGTTGCTACTTGCCTTTACTCCTCCAAGACCGTATCTTGAACAAGAACCCTGGCATAGAAGCAGGCCCTGGAGGCTGAATTCTCAGCCCTGATCCTGAATACACTCAGTTCCACCAGGATGTCAGTACCTTTCACTATCCCGTTCTCCAAACTGACTTCTATAGCCAGAATATGACTCAGGACTCACTGTGGGTTTGGACCACCCTGGGTAGATGGCCCTGTTCTGGAAAAGCCACTGTGTACCGATCAAGCACGTTACATCAGCCTCTTTCTAGCCATCATCAAATTTTAATTCAAGATAAAGAAAGCTTCCACATTGCATTTCCCTTCAAGGAGCTCTCTGGACATTTCCAGTCAGAGAACGGTCTTCTTTTCAGAACAAAAGCACATCCCCAATTACATGGGAGAATACAAGTAAAGGGTTCCTGAACAACAACGTGGAAGACTTGAAATTTCACACAAGATACACCAACAACACAGCTAAGAACCATGGGCTTTTCCTGTTCTCCACCGTAGAGTTCTAGGTATTACTTTCTCACCAGTTTCCCAAGCAAAGAATCTCCCATCTTAAAGCTACAATGCACAGTACAGCGGGCAGCTTTAGCCTGGATCAGAAGCCCCAAAAGCAAGGCTCAGGATGCCTCAGTAAAGGATCCTCGGTGGATGCTGTCATAGTAATGAACTGTTTGGACTTAAGAGTGCTTAGTCACGAAGTTGTTGATCCTAGGCAAACTCTCGGCTGAGTTAGAGCGACCCGCTGAAGCCCTGAAACGCTCCATAAAAAGTTGATTTTGCTCTGCCGGGCGCTGGAGAAAACCTTATGTAACACAATGGGCCATTTCAATATGTTATTTCTGCAAGCCTATGGGAGGAAAGGGGGAAAAATCTAAGCGCTAGAAATACAAAGAGTAACGCGGGGATCTGCAGCTGAAGCGTTCATCTCCTGGAATTTCACTTGGTCAGGCTTATTCGAGTCGCACCCAATCAGTACCGAGGAAGCAGAAAGGAAGAATAATTCCGAACGCCAAAGGATGGGGTTTAGAAATGCAAGGAGGCAGAAGTTGGGTTATCGCCCTGTCCTTTCTTTCTTTCTTTCTTTTAAGCATAAAATTCCTGAAGTTAACCCTTGAAGAGTAGTGGGCAATTGCATTTCAACAAAATAAGGTAAGATGTGCCGCAGAGCAATAACGCCCAAGTAGGACCCCAAGGATCCTGAGTGTAAACGGGCTGCGTCCACAAAAGCCAGGCAAGCACCGGCGCCCGGGCGCTATGGGACCCTCGGGGATCCGCGCCCGCACCTAGCGGCAGGCGGAGAAGCCGGGCAGGTGAAACCGGGGTTTCCAGAGCTCCGTCTCCATACCTCGGCAGCTCCTCGCGGCTGCTCTCTGCTAGAAGGGTACCGCTTCTGGGAGCGCAGAGATTAAACACCAGATTTGGAGTCGCCTCCCCAGAATCCCCCCGAAAGCATCTCTGTACAAGTAGTGGATAAAAATAGCCAGCGGACCGCGCCGGGGGGGAGGGAGGAGCGAGACTCGCGCAAGGCTAAGCAAGGATCCGACTGGTCCTCCAAAGTGGAGGGCGGAGGAAGAGGGGTGCGATCCCCTCCCGAGAGAGGGGCCTGGGTGCGCGAAGAAGCGTGGACGCTCGCCTCGCCGAGGGGAGGAGATGGAAGACTCGCGGAGCTCGCAAACTGCCGCGGAGCAGAGCACACCTCACACTCTCCGCACCCCCCCCTCCGTCCCCCACCCCGCGCCCTGCATCCCAGCTCTCGCTCCCTCTCGCCTCTCCATCTCTCTCTCTCTCTCTTTTTTTTTCCTTTTCTTGTCCGCGTCGGGGACAGACTGGGGTCAGAAGCGCGAGCCGCGCGCGATCGGCCGCCTGGCCCGGAGGGAGCACCTGGAGAGCTCAGGCTCCGCGAGTGTGCCCGGGTTCTGAGTCCGGGTCTACGCGCTTCCACCGCGGGTTGGCGCCCCTCCTCCCCTCACCTTCATCTGCTGTCACCACCCAAGGTGCTCGAAATAGAAACAGACGCAGGGGAAAAACAGAAAGTCAAAAGTAACACGAAAAACCAGAACCGTGTATCTTTGGCATGGGGGGTGAGGGAGGCTACTTAACGTCTGTCCACCGCTTCCATCTCTCTCCTCCAGAGCTTTCCCCGCCCCTCGGAAGATGTCCCATCTCTGCTTCGTTCCCAAAGCTAACCGCACTGAGGTTTCCCCACCCTGGATGCTCCCTCAGGACGGACTTTTTGCTGTTATCCCCGCCCTAGTTCCCAGCCAGAGTGGTACCCAGGCTCCGCGGCGCTTTGCGCTGATACTGCCCCTCACGGTCGGTCCTAAAGAGACGCGCCGGGCAGAAGCAAACCTCCTGACTCTTCTAGGGGGTAAGGAAAAAAAGAAAAGAAAAGAAAATCCACTAAGTCAGAAACCTGCTTGAAAAAAACCAGTCCCTGAAGACTTGCCTAGCTGAGGGACCAAGTCAGGAGGCTAGCAGGATGGGGAAAGCTCTGGGCTCTCCTTTCCCCCACCTACGTGCAATCCACTTGCACCAGCCTCCAGTCACCTTGGGCTCTGCTCTGGCCCTGAACTCCAGGATGCCAGGTCGGGGCACCTCGACGGGCCCGGGTCCTGCCGCTCCCCACACTAGCGACCCCCGCCGCCACGAGAGCGCGCCGCACTCACCTGAGCCGCGTCGCGGTGTTCCAGCCGTTCCGGCGCCCGAAGTCGGCTCCCGGGCTTGGCCATGGGCAGCGCCGTGGAGCCCCGGCGGCCGGCGGAGCGAGTTTTTTCAGGACGACCCGGGCCGGCGGGCGAGACACGAGCGCAGGCGCCCGCGGAGACCCGGCGGTGACGGCGATTCGCGGCTGCCCTCGCGCCGGGGACTTTGCAGGCGGGGAGGCGAGGTTATCACCGCCGCCGAGGGGAGGAGCAGGGGGAGGAGCGGGAGCGGGAGGAGGGGACAGAGGAGGCCGGGCCCGCAGGGATAGCGTGTCAGGTCGAGGAGGATCGCGAGCGCCCACTGCTGCCCGGTCAGCTCCGGTGCTGCCCCGGGGTTGGGTCGGCTCGGAGTCCGGCTCGTCACACCGCTCCCGGGGCGGCCGGGGCAGGGTTCGGGAAATCCCGCCGACAGGTACCGCACGAGTCAGTCCCGCCCCTTCCCTGGCGCGGCAGTTCCCGGGGTTTCAGCCCTGGGAAGCTGGGGGTGGGGATGGGACTTGGGGAAGGGACCAGCGCTCCTTCCCGGGAGGGTGGGGCCGGTTGTGGGTTGGGTGCCGTCCCTGCGAACCTGGGACATCCTGTCTCCACCGTCACTCTTGTTAGGGAAGGAGAGGTCCTAACCCCGAGCCCACGTCTTCCTCCACTCCCCGGCCTCGCCGTGTCCTCCCACGTGCGTCAGCGGGGCCGCTCTCCGTCCGGGCAGGTGCCCACCTTGGACATCGGTTGCTCCCTGCGCCGCCCAGGAAGCGAGGGGAGCCATCCACGCTGACTGCAGCCGGACCCGGACGCCGGCGGCCGGGCAGCCGGAGCGAGGATCAGCGCGATGAGCCAGCTCCCCAGCGCTCGGTGTCGCCATTGAACACTCCCTCCCTCTTCGGTTTCGCGTCCCCGGAGCGGATGCGGATTCACCCGGAGAGCGCAGAGCTTTTAGCTCTGCCTTCGCTAGTGCATCGGGATTGCAAACGTCAGCTCTGAAATTAAGCCGGTCCCCCTGCTCGCTTCCCCCGCGTTACCTATACCCGGGAAGTTTTGTGTCAGAGCTAGACCGGCCTTCGGTCTAATTTCAGATGTAAGGTTTCCGGGAACCCGGGGTTGGAATCGCGCTGGAGAAGCTAGGCTGCCTGTCTATCCGAGCCCAAACTAGTGGTCCTAAAAGGCAGATCAGCCAATACGTTAAGAAATTAAATGAAAGAAAAAGAAAACGTACCAGATGAGTGCCAAAGTAATTTATTCTAGATGAAATTTCAGTCGCTCTTCCATATCTTAAATATTGGAAAATAGTTTGGAAGAAATCAAATTTGGCCTTCAAGTGTAAAAAATCTCATTAACTTTGCTCAGATTAAAAATACACACTCACCTAAGTAATAAATCCTATAGGAAATTGACCTCTTTCTCATGTAGTGTTACCGACTGCCCTTTGAGAAAGCAAAACGATGATCAGCATTTTCTGGCTGTCTAATAAAACCAGGAGCATCTGGGAGGCCAAGGCCAAGTCTTATTTTGGAAAATAAGATTATAGGAGTTTTAATGATCCTGATCACTTCTTTGAGCCAGACTAATATTGACATATTTTTGAACTTTTAGAATACATTTGGAGTACCTTTGTGTTAAGTTGCTTCTGTCATGTTCCACTCTTTGTGACCCCATGGACTGTAACCCACCAGGCTCCTCTGTCCATGGGGATTCTCCAGACAAGAACACTGGAGTGTGTTGCCGTTTCCTCCTGGAGGGAATCTTCCTGGACCAGGGATCCAACAGTCCTCTCTTAGATCTCCTGCGTTGGTCGGTGGGTTCTTTACCACCAGTGCCACCTGGGAAGCCCAAGGAAATGGCAACCCGCTCCAATAGTCTTGCCTGGAAAATTCTATGGACAGAAGAGCCTGGTGGCTGCAGTCCATGGGACTGCAGAGAGTCAAACACGACTGAGCCACTGGGCACACACACATGCATGCACACACACACGTGTGCACACACACATGTGCACGCATGCACACACACGTATGTATTTTAAAAAATCACTTTAATCAAACTTGTGGTTGGGGGCTGGGTGTGGAGGAAGGTAGTCAAAAAGTACAAGCTTCCGGTTAAAAGACACAGAAATATCAGAGGTATAATGTACAACACAATGACTACAGCTGACACTGTTGTATGGTATATAGGAAAGTTGCTAATAGAGTAAATCCCAAGAGTTCTCATCACAAAGAGACTTTTTTATTTTCTTCTTCTCTTCCATTTTATTGGGTTTACGCGAGAAGGTGTCTGTTAGCTGAACTCATTGTCATAATTATATCACAAAAGATGTAAATCAAACCATCAGGCTGTATGCCTTAAAGTGATGTATGTCAATTACTCCTCAGTAAACCCAGAAAAAAAAAAAGTCAGTTTAAAGCCCCTTTTTGAAAAGCCTTAACATTCAAATTTGCATTAGCTTTAAAAAAAAATGTACTTTTTCTGCCTCATTCGGTGAAGCCCTGTAAAATCATGTATGATGAGGTTGTGCAGGTCAAATGGTAGCTTCAGATACGCCCTTGCCAAGCACTGGAGTCCTGAAGCTCCTACCAGCAGCTAAGCCCAGCACAGATCACAAGTTCTTCAAAATAGGGAGCCACTTTGATGTCCTAAGTTGGTATGATTGCTTTTCCTTAAGAGTTCAAAGTGCTTTTGGGCCCACAGCCTGGATTTCACAATGCATTTGTGAGATGCAAAGTGAGACTGGCAATGATTCCATTTGCACCCTGGGAGCCAAAGTCGGGTTAACTGGTCTACTTAGTTCCCCACTGCAAGCCCTAAAAGGGAACTAGAACCTAGGCCTGCAGCCCTGAGACTCTGTAACAAGCTTCACTTGCCCCAAATGACTCCAGACAGATATGGCCACTGGCAAGGATGGGTGTTTTAGCTTCTCTCTCTTTTTTTATTTTGGCCAGCATTCATTGATTAGTGATCAATATTCTTATGCTTAGGTAAATAAGAAAGTATTCACTGGTGTTTTGTTCTTATTTAGCATCTTTGTTGCTGTTATTGTTGTTCACTCACTAAGTCCTGACTCTTTGCAACCCCGTGGACTGCAGCAGGCTAGGCTTCCCTGTCCTTCACTATCTCCCAGAGTTTGCTCAAACTCATGTCCATTGAGTTGGTGATGTCATCCAACCATCTTATCCTCTTTTGCCCCCTTCTACTCTTGCCCTCAGCCTTTCCCAGAATCAGAGTCTTTTCCAATCAGTTGGCTCTTTGCATCAAGTGGCCAAAGGATTGGAGTTTCAGCTTTAGCATCAGTCCATCCAATGAATATTCAGGGTTGATTTCCTGACTTCCCTGATGGCTCAGATGGTAAGGAATCTGCCTGCAATGTGGAGATCCAGGTTTGATCCCTGGGTTAGGATGATCCCCTGGAGAAGGGAATGTCTACCCACTTCAGTATCCTTGCCTGCAGAATTCCACGGACAGAGGAACCTGGTGGGCTATAGTCCATGGGGTCACAAAGAAATGGACATGACTGAGCAATTAACACTTCCTTTTGGATTGACTTGCTTGATCCCCTTGCAGTCTAAGGCACTCCCAAGAGTCTTCTCCAGCACCATAGTTCCAAAGCATCAGTTCTTTGGTGCTCAGCCTTCTTTGTGGTCCAACTCTCACATCCATACATGTCTACTTGAAAAATCATAGCTTTGACTATATGGATCTTTGTCGGCAAAGTGATATCTCTGTTTTTTTTTAATACGTTATTGAGGATTGTCATAGCTTTTCTTCCAAGGGGCAAGCATCTTTTAATTTCATGGCTGCAGTCACCATCTAGAGTGATTTTGGAGCCCAAGAAAATGAAATCTGCCAGTTTCCATTTTTTCCCATCTATTTGCCATGAAAAAGATTCCTAGCCCAGTGCCTTCTGTACTGGAATAGTTTATGTTTGCTTTTGTTATCTCTGGTTTTCTACTTTTCCTCAAATGTATGATGGAAGAGAGGAGTCAGGAGAGGGAGAATTAGAGAGAGGGCTTGCTTCCTCGGAAGACATCGAGGACGCAGAGTCACTCTACCTTCCTGAGCTCACCCTGATTTTATCTGTAAAGCTCCCCCGTACAGCCTCAGCCTTTCCTCCCTTAATGGCCATTTGAAACTTGCAGGTTAATAGCATGAATATTAAGGAGTCCAGTGGGATTCTTTATAAGCAGAGGAAATTGGGATCAGGTTAAAAATCCAATTTTAATAAACTTTCCAAGTCTTGATTTAGATGATGCACTAATGGCTCTCAGTGCTGAATCACCTTAAAAGTCAGTGTATTTTTAAAAGGTCCTTGTTGTAGAGAAAGCTGGATGGGTGTCGTTTAATTGTAGACTGTGCATCCCTGTCATCATAGAAAAGATCACGTGTATAATGGATGAGAGCCGATATGAAATGCCACTGTGCATGGAGCTGGTTGGCAGAGGAGAGGGCGTTTGGTTTGAAAGATAGTTTTCGCTCATTTGACCAAAACAAAGAGAGTGTGATTACACTGTGTGAAAACGGTATCCTCAAATAACTCCTCTAATTTGATTGTGCTGAGGTCTAGAATTGTTTCCATTTCTTTTGACTTGCTAATTAGCTGGAGCAGAAGGCTTGTGAGAATAGAAAAATGATGGTCACATCCAGAAAATATGTAGGACTGTGATTCTTCCCAGTCAGCACACCTGTCACCTGCCTGCCCCACCAGCCTGTCCAAAGCCCAGCTTTATCTATGTGTCCTTGAAAATGACTCACACCTCTGCAATTAATAGACTGTTGGATGTTTTTCTGAAAACAGGACTTTCATCCCCTTTGTAACACTGGACACATTCACGGCACATGTGGTTACAAGTTTCAGTTCTAACTTTTGCCTTTGTAGGACCTATCCTTCTCCCATTTTGCTTATGTAGTTAATTAAATATTAAAATTATATGGCATGTCTACGTCGCCATAAAGAAGCATGTGTGTGCGTGCTCAGTTGATCAGTCATGATCTGACTCCCCATGACCCCATGGACTGTGTAGTCCTCTGAGCTCCCTTGTCCATGGAAACCTCCAGGCAAGAACATTAGAAGGGGTTGTCATTTCCTTCTCCAGTAAAGAATATATTGATATTATTTTTTATTTATTTAAATACTTTCTGAGGCCCCCAAATCGGTATTTCTTGGGAGTTTAAAAGAAATTAAAATATTTTTTAAAGGCCCTGAAAGTACCTTGGGCTCTCAAGACTTCTAATGGAGTGGTTGGCCCTGTGTTGGTGGTGATGTTGTTGGGGATGAACACTTAATTGATTCTGATCAGGAGGTGCAGTGGCAAAGAATCTGCCTGCCAATGCAGGAGATGGAGACATGGGTTCGATCCCTGGGTCAGGAAGAATCCCTGGAAGTGGCAGCCCACTCCAGTATTCTTGCCTGGAGAATGCCATGGACAGAGAAGCCTGGAGGGCTACAGTCTATGGGGTCGCCTAGAGTCAGACACGACTGAGAGACTGATCACACAGAGTGTGTGTGATAACCGTAATTCCAGACTCATACTTTAAGGTCCATTTGTTATGTTGGATAAACAACTATAGAAAACATGCTGCTTTTATTTCTGGTCCTGTGTCAAGCTTTGCCCCAAATTACACACATCAGTGCTGCAAAAATTGCAATATTGCAGTCCTGAAGTGGTCCCCTTGTTCAAATTGTTAGACCCTGCTGAGCGCCAGAAAACCTTCATGGCCATGGGAAATTGCGGCACTCTCTTTGATTTCAGGTTTGCAGGGACCAAAGCTGATGATGCTTTGACAAGCAGGTGTTGCTGATTCTCTCTTTTAGGCCTTATTCAAGGATCCTGAAAGGTTCAAACTCTTCAGGAAAAAAAAAAAAGGATCTGTACCTCT